GACGTTCAGGAGCAGTATTAATGAATGCTTATATGCTATCATAGGAATGCACTCCCTTCAAAATTTTAGAGTGCACACCTATTTTGATCCAAATGTACACATTAATCCAATTTTAATATAGAGTTTTGTTGGTGAACCCAAATATTGAAATATAGATATATGGGAAAAAGTAATAGAAAAGGTTATCACTTCTCTTTTTTTTTTTTTTTTAATTTTAAGGATAAAAGGAGGGAAACATTAACAGACATACAACATTTTACAACATATCACAAGCACAATACAGACAATACAGAGTTACAAACAAAGTGGTAGGGAATTAACAATGGTGGTTGTATTACATATTGATATCTTCAAAGTGGCTTCTCATGAAAACAGATATAGACATGCAATACTGGTCAACCAAAGACTCATTGACAGTTTCTTTCAGCATAGAAACAGCAGATAGAAGAACAACCATGTTATCTATCCTGTATATACATACATACAAAATTTCTCCTTCTTTCCCTTTTCTTTTCCCACATCCCAGAAGCCCTTTACTCTTCGGTGGTTTCCTATCATTTCACAGTGTCTATCATACCTCCGAGTTTAACTTAACTCTTTCAAGTTTTACACTAGTGACACAATGCGGTGCTTGCACATGTATGTTTGATTTATTTCACTTATGAGTATGGTCTCTAGTTGTGACCATTTAAATATAAAGGCCTCGAGTTTATCTTTCTTTACAGCTGAGTAATATTCCATTATATAAAAGTACCATAATTTTCTTATCCAATCCTCGGTGGATGGACATTTGGGTTGCTTCCACATTTTAGCAATTACAAATTGTGCTGCTATGAACATAGGTGCACATATATCACTGTGATATGATGTTTTTAGATCTTCTGGGAAAATACCCAGCAGGGGGATAGCTGGGTTGAATGGGATCTCTTCACTTCTCTTAATAGGTGGTATGATCGTGCTTTTTTCTTGGTCAGCACATATTATTTTGCAAATATGTAGCAAACACCATGCTTGATGAGAAAGTCTGGCAAGTATCTAAAAGACTAAATATAACACAAAAGACTAATATAACACAAACACATGAAGTAAGTTCACAAGAAGTTGTAAAACATTTCATGCAGGGATTATGGGAGACAGTGGTACAAGCTATCTGGGTCTCCTCTTATGTCTTGACAAGGACCTGCCAACCATTCATCGCAGAGTGACAAAATGGAGGTGGACTCTAGTTGTCCAGAAGGAAAGGCAGATCAAAGGCCGCTTGCGGTTCTCCACTGGTAGCTCAGGAGCTCCAAAGATCAATTCCTTCTCCCATTTGGGCCTGGAACCTTGGCTGCCAAGTGAATGGGCTGTGTGATAATGAGCAGAGGCAGGCAGACTACTAGAGATGGCAATTTAACTTCAGACAAAAGAAGATTCCTGAAGAGTTGCGCATCAAGATCAAAAGTTGTGGATAGAGGGCTCAGCTTGTTTTCAGAGGGAAAACATAAGCCGACTCACCACACATTGGAATTGTGCCACCAGGCTGGGGAAATCTCAAGGCAGCCAAGTTTCCTGGCATTTGTCTCTGGGTGGAGTTTTTTCAGACAGGAAGGGCGGTAGAAGAGCACTGGCGGGCCGTTCTTCGCCATAGGCAGAGCACTACTGCCTTCTTGCGGCAAAAGTTTAAGTACAAAGAGCGCCCCAACAGCTCCCTTCCCGTGAGGTTTCACTGTTGGGGAAGCTCGTGCTGGCAACCAGTTTGAAGTGGCTTGGGCTCTAGGTTCAGCCTTCTTGTCTCCTTTTTAGGCCTCAGGAGAAACCTAGACACTGCCGCCACCTCGCTGTACAACCTGGCTAGTGAGGGGCCTGACATGGACCAGCAACTGTCAGGAGATACTGTCATAGGAGGTGGTGAGGCAGAGCTTTAGTTTCTCCCCTTGTGGAGGAACAGAGGGATCTACCCTAAGACAAAAGGTGGCCCTAGAGAACAGATGTCACCTGTTCCTGCCCTTTAGTGTAAAAGTTTGCAGGCAAAATCTGGGTGTTAAAGAGAAATAAGACTGGTATATTAGAAATGATAAAATATTGCTGAAGGAGTTCAAGGTGATGTGATGTTTTGTTTTGTTTTTCTGGTACGGGGAATCGAACTCAGGACTTTGCTCTTGCCAGCAGGCGTTTGTGCCACTGAGCTATATCCCCAGCACCTTGAGATGATTTGATGAAAAAAGCACCCTGTGTTCATGAATTGGAAGGCTGAATATGGATTCATGGCAATATTACACTAAATATCTGAAGAGTCAGTGAAATCCATATCATCCCAATGGCCATTCTGACAAAAATAGAACAGCTGAATCTAAAATTCATACAAAAAAATAAATAAATAATTCATACGGAATTTCAAGAGAGCTAAATAGCCAAGACAGTTCTTTTTATTTGTTTTACTTTTTGAGACAGGGTCTCCATACATCATGCAAGCTGGTCTGAAACTGGAGATCCTACTCCCCACTGCTGGGACTACAGGTGTGTGCCTGCTGGTCAAGCTCAAAACAATTCTTGAGTAAGAAACACGAGATGGAGGACTCACACTTCCAAATTTCAAAACTTACTACCAAAAATAGTGCTCACAGCAGTGTGCTACTCAAATTAGAATAAATACAGAGCCAAGTGGACTATCTTTAGAGTTCACAAATAAGCCCATACACAATGGTAACTTGATTTCAACAGTATCATCAAGGCCATTCGATGGAGGAATGAAATAATCCCAGTGCTACAACAATTGATTATCTACAGATTAAAAAGCACAGGGAGACCTCTACTTTATACCATATGCAAAAATTAACTCCATAAACTATGAAACTCTGAGTCAAATATAAGGGTAAATCTTCAAGACCTCGGACTTGGTGGTGCTTTCTTGGATATGTTGCTGAAAGTATGAACAACAGATTTGACTTCATCAGAATTTAAAAGTATATTTCACTGAAGGACATAACGAATAATATAAAGGAGCAGCTAGTAGAATAGGAGAATACATGTCCAAATCAATTACCTGAAAAAGCAGAAATATCTAAAATACCTGAAGAACTTTTATAGGAAAAGGTGGTAATACATGGTACAACTCTGTGTGTGTGTGTGTGTGTGTGTGTGTGTGTGTGTAACTGAGGGTTGAATCCAAGCCATTCCTACTCAATTATATTGCCAGTTTTTCTTCAGTCTTCCTCCCTCTTTCCGCTTTCTTTCTTTCTTTTTCTTTCTTTCTTGCTTGCTTTCTTTCTTGCTTTCTTTCTTTATTCCTTTCTTTCTTCCTTTCTTCCTTCCTTCCTCTTTCTCTCTTTCTCTCTTTCCTTGTAACACTTGGTAACAGTCTTTCTAAATACTTAAATTACGCAGGCTGGGTTCCAACTAGTAACGGTCCTGGCTCAGGAGTGAAGAATGTGAGGTTGTAGATCAGTGCCCCTCTTCCTCTCCCTAGAACATTTTAAAAATGTTTATTTCTTCTCTCTGTGGCTGGCCTGCCAAATGTTTTTTATAATTTCTTAAGGATCCAGAGTGAAATACAAAGCAACAAGCACTAGAAAATATATATTAATATGAATATATGCCAGTGATGTATATAGTGCTGCTAAGGCCTCTGTAAAGTGTGAAACGCATACATTTATGTATAAGAGAAACGAGCATGGGAGGTGTATGTAAGTACTATTGTATGGAAACATTATGTATTTTCTCTCCATTTACAAAGTTTAAAAACCTATGTATTTGTGATCCTAGTCAGCGTAGAGTATGTGTTTATGTATTTTTATTTGTATGAATGTAAACAGATATCAGTGTAAGACTGCAGCTGCATGGGAGTGTTGTGAACACACGCACCATTATGTTCTCTCAGGGTGCCTGAATACAAGCTATGCCAATTTAGGATAACTATTTTTGAATTTGGCTTTTAGTCCCTGGAGCTCTTAAGAGATTCAGGAGGATCACCTGAAGTTTCAGGCTATTTGGGGCTCCATAGGTTAGGTCAAGGCCTGGAGTACAGAGAGAGAAACAGTCTCAGTAAAATAACAACAACAACAAAAATGACAGATTTAGGGTAAAAGTACCTCCCGCCCCCGCAGCGCCAGTACTGAACTCAGGCCCTGTCCATTGTGCTACATCCTCAGCATCTTTCTTTTGTTTTGTTTTGAGTCTGAGTATCCCTAGGGTGAAGAGCTGCCCAGGCAGTTCTTGACTTGCAAGCCTCCTGCTTCAGACTCCAGAACTGGGATTATGGGAAAGAACCACTTCTTACAGATATAGGATAAAATATTGAGAATAATAAAAATAATTCCTGACAATGTTAAGACCTTCTTGGGAATTAGAAGTGAAAAGCTCCATTCTAAAATGCAATGAGTAACTTAAAATAATCAAAATGCAAATGTACTGTGCTCTTTCATTGTCTACATAGAACTTCGTCTCTGTGTACCGAAAGAATGGCAATAGACATACAAAAGATTGTGACTGTGCACTACAAACTTTATGATGTTGCATGATCCCTTTTTTTTTCTTTGGCACTGGAAATCGAACTCAGGACCTTGTGCTTCTGAGGCAGGCTCTTGTGCCACTGAGCTATATCCCCAGCCCTGGTGTGTGATTCTTGGTGAGCATATGGGTATTTTCTGAATCGTTTTGAAGTTCCATGTCTGCATTAACAAGGAGAAAACGTAAGAACTGTCCTTAAGGGAAAACAATAACCCACATACACCATACAACCCTGGGAACCAGGGGGAGGCCACTTACTGTACTTGCACTCCATTGTTAGAGGACAAATACAGGGGACCAAAATGATCGCTCCGACTGGAGTACATACACTTTCAATTGTATGCCTCACTCCAGGTCAGACACTGGTCAGCCTTCAGTGTGTTAGGTCCACCTAAAGTCAGTCTCTGATGAACACACAAAGACTGGTGCTTAGCTGAGAACATGCAGTAGGACTTGCAGGGAACCTGGGACTCCAGTCAGGATGAGGACCAAGCACCTGGAGCTAGATTGGTTCTTCACCACGGCCACAGTGGTAAATATTTGTTTTCCTTCCTAGGCAGGGATCCCTGAGATTTGGTCAACAATACCAGGAAGACGATTTGATGAACAAGGAAGCACCGGAGATAGAATGTTGCATGAGGAAGAACAATAACGGGAAGGCTTGGACATGTGAAGCTGATTTTGGGAAAGACAAGCTGAGTGATGACCGTGAGTAGCTTAGATCTCACATTTACAAAACATTTCAAATGTTCTTTTACTATCACATTTGTGGAGCTTAGGCTAGACCACAGGCCCTTGAGTATCAAATCTATTGCTGACACGAAATTGAAAACAAAAGCAGCACTGAAGTAATGGGACAGAGTTTGCACTTAAAGATAGGGTAAAGCAGTGAAAGGTTTTAGCGTCTTTGCCTCTTTGGTCATTTTTTTCAAAGGCGAAGGGTGGAGGCAGAGCCCATGGAGGTGGGCTGTTTGTGTCTTTTGGGGCAACACTGCCATCGTGCGGAAGACATTTCATAAAAGCCTATGTCAGGAGCTGCTCCTCCAAGAAAACCCTACGCAAAGAGGAAAGCAGGGCTGGCCGAGGTCAGATAGACCCACACCCAAGCTGGCTTCAAGTCCTTTTCCCTGGGACCACCACAAGAACGATACAAACGCGGAGTGTTGGAGCAAAACTAAGAGAGTGAGGGACCAGGACTGAAAGTGCATCTGGCAGTTGGACCGGTCCTATCTTCCTGTTCTAACAATACCTGAAGGAGAGACCCAAAGCCCACACGAGGATGACATCACCTGAAGGTCCACTAGCAACCTTTCTAAGTGGCAGCCAAAGGAGTAAGTGCTGCCAACAGCTCAGAGCTGTCTGGGTGGGTCTCTGGTCCTCTAGTCCCCAGAGAAACCCAAGCCTGCCCCAGGACTTCCTGTAATGGCGGCTCCTGGCAGCTGGAGGTCAACTCCAGGTCCTTTAATCCCCACAGCAAAGTAGCTCCAGTGTGTAAGACTTTTGTGGGGCCTTAGAAGGCAAGAAGGCCCACTTTGGAGCCAAAGCCTCTACTAACGCACTAAGTGAAATTTTCCATAATTTCGGTCTGATGGGTAGGAAGGCATAGCGGCGCTAGGTATGATAAAACTTTCTCCGCACGATGGCAGCAGTGCCCCGAGAATGGATCCGAGCAGACTCACCTCCCGCCCTTCCTGCTTGAAAAAAACGATAGGAACAAACAAAAGAGGCAGGAAGCCCATTGCATTTTATTATAGAAAGTCTGGTGCCACGTGCTCATTTTGAGTATTAAATCTATTATGACATCTAATTGAAAGCAAAATCACCATTCTAATAGTGGAAAACATTTTACAATTAAAGAAAGGCTGAAGTAACTACAGGTTCTCGTGTCTTTGACTCGACATTTTTTTTCAAAGGCGAAGGGTGGAGGAAAAGCACATGGAAGTGGGCTGTTTCGGTCTTTTGGGGCAATACTGCCATCCTGCGAAAGACATTTCATAAAGCTTTCGTCAAGAGCTGTTCCTTCAAGAAAACCCAAGCGAATGAGGAAAGCAGGGATTGCTGAGCTCAATGAGACCCATATCCAAACTGGATTCCCATCCTTTTCTCTGAGGCCACCAGAAAAAAGACACAAATGCAGTGTGTTGGGATAGAATTTGGAGTGAGGGACCGGTTCTGAGAGTGCACTTCCCACCTGGAATGCACTGCCTTTGTGTTTTCACATTTCTGCAAGGAAGGACCCAGGCCCCTACCAACAGGTGCAGTGATGTGTGAAGCTCTTAGCGATTTCAATGATAACTGACACCCCGCTGGGACATGTGGGCCATAGGTTCTCCACTGTTGCACCAGGCCATCACCTAAAGACCGCCTAACAATCCTTTAAAGGTGCAGGTAGAGCAGATTCGTGCTTCCAGGAGCCCCAAGCTGTCTGAGCGGGTCTCTGGTCCAGTTCTCCACTGGAGGAACCGAAACCCGCCCCCACAACTTCCTGTAATGGCGGCTCCTGGCAGCTTGCAGGTCCACTTCAGATCCTAGTCCCCACAGCAAGGTAGCTCCAGTGTGGGTAGCTCTTGTGGAGCTTTAGAAGGCAAGGAGGCCCATTTTGCAGCAAAACCCCCTAATAACTTCCTAAATACGAACTTAAGTAAAACTTGGTCTGTTGGGAAGAAAATCATATTGGCGCTGGGTAGAAAGAAAGTTATTCCGCACGATGGCAGCACGGCACTGAGAGTGAGTCCGCGGGGACTCCCCTCCCGCCCTTTCTGTCTGAAAAAAACTCTGCAAAGAAACAGAAAAGCCAGGGACTCTATTGCCTTGTATTTTAGAAAGCCTGGTCACCATCTCACTTCGTGTATTAAATCTGTTGTTGACATCAAGTTAAAAGCAAAATCAGCATTCTAGTCCTGCTACTTATTTTGCAATAAAGAACTGGTAAGGTAGCTGCAGTTTCTAGTGTGTTTGTCTCTTTGGACATTTTTTTCAAAGGGGAAAGCTGGAGGTAGAGCATATGGAAGTGGGCCCTTTGGTTGTTTTGGAGCAATACTTCCATGGTATGGAATCCATTTCATAAAGCCCCATGTCATGAACTTCTCCTCCAAGAAAGTCCTAGCCAATGAGGAAAGCAGCGCTTGCTGAGCTCAATGAGACCCACACCCAAGCTGGCTTTCCATCCTTTTCTCTGAGGCCACCAGAAGAAAGACACAAATGCAGTGTGTTGGGATGGAATTTGGAGTGAGGGACCAGTTCTGAGAGTGCACTTCCCACCTGGAATGCACTGTCTTTGCGTTTTCACACTGCCTTAAAGAAGCACCTACCAACAGGTGCAGTGATGGTGAAGCTCATAGAGATTTCAATGATAACTGACATCCTGCTACAGTGCTTGGGCCAATGGCTCACCACCATTGCACCAGGCCATCACTTAAAGACCAGCTAACAGTGATTTAAAGGCGCAGGCAGAGCACCTTCGTGATTCCAGCAGCCCATGGGTGTCTTGAGTGGGTCTCTGATCCTGTCCTCCCCAAGGGGTGCCAAAGCCTGCCCCATAACTTCCTGGAATGGCGGCTCCGGGCAGCTGAAGGTCCGTCCATTCCAGGTCCCTTAATCCCCAAAGCAAGGTAGTTCCACCGTGTACGGCTCTTGTGGGGCCTTAGAAGGCAAAGAAGCCCACTTTGGAGCCAAATCCTGTACTAACTGACTAAACAAAACTTCCATAAACACTTGGTCTGATGGGAAGGAAGGCATAATAGCGCTGGATATGATGAAAGTCTTTCCGCACGATGGCAGCAGTGCGCCGAGAAAACTTCATCGCCACTTCCTCTCCCGCCCTTTCTGTCTGAAAAAACTGATGCCAGAGACAGAAAAAAAAAATAGGAACTTTAAAATACTTCAAAGCATTAAGAGATAATGGTATCATATTAAGGATTCTCAATAAAATTATCCATCAATTCTCTTTTGGAAATATGGAACCAAAAGGTATGGAAATAACATTTAAAGTTTGCAAAGAAGCCTGGCTTGGTGGCCCAGGCCTGTAATCCCAGCACTCTGGGGGAATAAGGCAGGAGAAGAGCAAGTGTGAGCCAGAGTGGGCAACTTGCAGCCTCAGAGAGACACTTGTACAAAATAAAAATACAAAAAGAGCTGCACGTGACCCTGTTTCAATCCATGGTTCTGCCAGTAAACAAATCATTACAATTCTAAAAGAAAATAAAATCCTGCTCCTAATTCCATACCATGCAATACTAGTTTTCACAAATCAAACACAACTCATGGCATCCCTAGATCAGCAGTTCATTCAGGTTGGCCACTGAAGACATCTCATGGTACAGACACAAAGAGTTCTTCAAGATGAAATGAGAGAAAGAGCTGAAATGAGAAAAGGAGACAATAGCTAGAGCCCTCTGAAGGAACAAGTGGCCACACACAATAGATGTAAAAGACATACATATTGTATCTTGTGGTATCTGAATTATTAGTCTCCCTCAATGAGCATAAAATATTTATGTTAGTGTGGGAAAATAACAGAAAAATGAATGGAGCTGGAAAAGGAAGGTTTTATGTACCATTGAAAGTACTTAATGACAATTACCATAAAATTAGGATAATGTATTGACCGGTATACTCATAAAGGGAAAAACATCAAAATGTACTGAAAAAAGTAAGAAGGGAATAAAATAATATTGTAGAAAAAATAAATCAATCAGAAGATAGTAATTGAGTAATTCAGAAAGAAATATAATGCACACATTAAACAGCTGGCAGTACAGCAGAAGTAAGTCCCTTTTTACCAATAATTTATTTAAATTGACTGAACTGTCCCATTGATAAGCAGAGATTGGTAGAACTGAGTTTAAATAAACATGATCAAAGAATACTCTCCTAAAAGAGACTGTTTAGATGTTGTTCCTGAATGAGTTAAAAGTAAACAAAGTATGGAAATTATTCTATGCCAACAATAATCAACTAAAGTTGGAAAAGCTGCACTAACAGCAGATAAGCTACATGTTAAGACAACAATAATTTTAAGAGACATTGATGGACTTTGCATATATACATATATTGTGTTTTGTTTTGTTTTGTTTTGCTTTTTATTTTTTCTGGGTTTTTTAAAACTTCTTTACTTTTTTGTCGTTTTGAGACAAGGTCTTGCTCTGCAGTTCAGGCTGGCCTTGAGCTCACTTTGTAGGCCAGGCTGGTCTCGAACGCACAAAGATCCACCTGCCTAAGCCTCTGGTGTGCCGCTTTACAGGCCTGTACCACCAAGCCCGGTTTTCTTTTCCTTTTTGAGACAGGGTTTCACTGTGTAGTTCACTCCAGCCTTGAATACACTTTGTAGCCAAGGCTGGCCTCTAACTCACAAAAATCCTCCTGCCTCACCCTCCCCAGTGCTGAGATAATAGGCGTGCAACACCACGACCTGCTTGGACTTTGTATATGGATAATGAGTCTATCAGGATGTGCCAAGTATAAATATAGTGTATGTATACATTCAATGTACAAAAGGGCTGAGGATTTAGCTCAGCAGCACAAGTGCCTGCCTGACAAGCTCAAGGTCCCGAGTTCAATTCCCAGTACCAAAAAATTAAACTAAAAATAAAATTCTCTCTCCTTCAATATACAAAAGTATCCCGAAATCTATTGGAATAATAACTGAGGTCTGTTAAAAGAAAAAATGGAGCTCCACAAAAAAAGCTAGAGAGTGCCCTTCATTACAA